AAATTCCTTCTCAAAGTAGCCATACCAGTTTACACTTCCATCAGCAGCGTTCCCATTGCTCTTTCCTCTTACATCAGTATAGTACAACTTTGGGATGGATACTAGAAGAAAGCCATCTTCAAATAGTGTTTTCAGATTAATTATCATTAAAACTGTTGGCATGTATTTATTTGACAACACAACATACGAAGGAAACCACAATTCAAAGCAGAATGCTACTTAAAAAAAAAAAAACACACCGAAGGTGACATTTTCACACTTAAATAGGACAGAATATTATTCATGATATGAATAGTAATGAAATGTCCACCCTTTTGAGATCTTGGAATGAAATAAAATTAGTGTAATAATTACTGTTATTAATTTCAGAAAGTATTAGGTTAAAGAAAGTGAATTTTGACTACTGTAGCTGTTTAATGATAATAATTTTTCAAGAGGAATCTTGAGCATTTCTCTGACACAGCATTCTGAGTATCCTTGTATTACTTACCTGCATTCATTGTTAGCTCTAATGACTGAAGGCCATCCCCGTCAAACTCAGATGCTATTAACATCTGATATAATGTCATGGCTGTGGTTCACTTCTACTTCCATGTAATGATCTCTCAGTTTATTGTATTTCTTATACATGACTTCATATCCTTAGGAGTAAATTTATATAGTTAATTCAGTGTCTTCATTTTAAAATACAAAGTTGAAAGTGTATCCACTAGATGTCACCATACCAGACGTAGCGCATGAATCCTGTAGCTGAAGCAATGGAGGGCGCAGTTTTACAAGTAAACTTACTTTAAATAAGTCATGCATTGTGAGACAGTTGGGATAAAAAGTCAGTTTTCTCCAAACTAAAAGTCAGCTTTTACCATACTAAAATTAAGAAATTTTGATCTTAGCATGTGCTTATAATTCATGGTGACAGATTAATCTGCTACAGTGGACACTTAGTACTTTGTTGTGAGCTGCCAGGTGCTGTGCATTGAACCTGGGTCCTCGGGAAGAGAAAACAGTGTTCTTACCACTGAGCCATCTCCACAGCCCCCATCACAGTGTTCTAGAAGACTTGATATGGGTTTAGATTTTATGTTCTGACAGGAAGCTATTGTGTAGTTTTAGAAAGAGAAAGAACACATAGTCTGATTTATGTATTTTTTAAAAGACCAGCTTGTCTTTAGTAAGAGATTGTCAGAGGAGAAAAGAGTAGAAGCGGGACGACCACTAAGGGTCCTTAATAATCCTAGCAAGAAGCAGTGGTGTCAGGACCAAGATGGTGGAGCAGTAAGCAGTAAGCCAAGTGTCCATTACACCAGTGACAAAAAAGTGTATCGATAGTGTCGGCATCACAGCTGCTTCTGATGTGGACAGCTGCGTTGTCATGGTCGGTGTTAGAGGCAGGTAGGGTGGATTGGAAGAGTGGGAGCTGAAAAAGTAGAGAAGGCTGATGGCAGACAGGGTACTTACCAGTCAAGTTGTAAAGAAGACAGGAAGCATGATGAGGCACTGGAGCAGACAGCATGTTCTGAGCTTGGCAGAGCCAGTGTTCTGAAGGAATAGGTGCGAAGGGAGGGGCCTGAGGTTACTAATAAAGCAAGTGGACCTGGACAGCATCACCTCACTTGAGAACTTCTTCCCTTAAAGCATAGCTATACTTAGAAAGAAGGGCTAGAAATTTCAGCTAAGAACACTTATTCCAATGTTAAGATTTGTGATATCACAAAGTGCCGTGTGTATTCAGGTGTGTGTGCCCAGGTGGAAATACCTGTGTGTGCACATGGGGAAGACAGGGAGACATTGAGTATCTTCCTTTATCTCTCTCCTCCTTAGTTTTTGACAAGATCACTCATAGGAATCATCTGTAGCTTACCATTCTTTTTACACTGTTTGGCCAGCGAGCTCCTGGAATCCACTGGCTCCACCCCTTCAATAATGGATTAAAAGCAGGAGTCATTTGCATTACATGTAAAAATGGAGTAAGGTCATTTCTTGCATGCAAGAATGGGTCAGAGGTTTGAAGAGTTTTTTTTGTTTTGTTTTGTTTTGTTTTGTTTTTAATATATCGAGTAGTCCCTTGGGGATAGGTATTCTGAGGACAATTTGGTATTTTTAATTATACACTGAAAGCTGCAGTTGTCAACCAGCGTACTTTTGCCTCCTGAGAAACACTTCTCATTATGTGGATTAGCCATTCATAGTGAATGGGCATTGGGCAACAGTTGTGCTAGATCAGTCATTCTCTCCCAGAGATAATTTTGCCCTGAGAAGGCATTTGGGGGGCAGTTTTGATTACCACATAGTGTGTTTGTGAGCATTCAGTTTGCTACTGGTTTCTAGTGAGTTGAAGCTCAGGATGCTGTTAAATATGCTGACATGTGAGATAGCCCTCAGTAACTAATGAAAACCCAGCCAAGTAGTGCCAAGGTTGGGGAACACCGTGCCAGATAAGAAAAGCATTTTTCAAAGCATTTATATTGAGATGAAAATGCTAGAAATCCTACATCATTACACTGGGGAATGAATTGGTCAAGACCAGGTATGTTGCAGTGGTGAGGAGTGTAGGCCCAACATTAGAATGTAATGGCTGGAAACGGGAGCAGATTTTTAGAAGAGGACACAGGAAAACATTTTCCCTGCAGGTGGCATGGTGTATGTATAGGTAAAAGTTAAGGAAACTGAATTGCTCCCTTCTTTCTCCCTCCTGTACTATGATGGTGGTGTGTTAGGAAGACCGATGTTAAAATGATATTTGGCAACATTCTAGACACAAGTGTGCTAAAGGTGGGCTTTACTCTAAGAACTTTGAAATCCTTTGATAAGTTGAAAACCTTTGTGTTAGTTAGGTTTTCCTTTGGGTTTATGGTTCTAGAAGGTTGAGAGTTCATCATGGGAGGTGAAGCATGGCAGTGTAGGCTGGAGCAGGTAGCCAAGGGCTCACATCTTGGATTGGAATTAGGAAGCAGAGAGAATAAACTGGGAATGATGTGTGACTTTTCAAACCTCAAAGCCCACACTCATTAACATACTTCCTCTTGTAAGGGCATGCCTCCTAAGCCTATCCTAATAGCGTCACCAGCTGAGGAACAAGTATTCAAATATCTAAGCCTCTTGGGACAGTCTCATTTAAACTACCACTGCTATTTTGTGTTAAAAGGAACAGAATCACTTTTCACCCCTTTCCTCTTCTTTTTCTTCTTCTCCCACCTCTTCCTCTCAACCAGCTTGAGATAATTTGGATTTGATGATTTAGGAAAAATGCTTACCTTTTCCTTGGATATGAAAGCTTGGTATTAGAGTATAAGGCTATCCTGGACTACATAGTGAGACCCTCTCTCAAAAAACCAACAGCTTGATATTAAACTTTTTACAATGTATAAGTTAATTACAGTGAGCTATTAAATGCTTTCTAATTCACTGAATCCACTTACATGAAACATTGTACAAAATCAGAATGCTGAACATTATTGAATGGGATATTCAGTGTAATAGAAATAGTAGTATAAATTAAAAGGTAGGTAGAGTTAGGGATATGGTTCAGTTGGTAAAATGCTTGCCTTGTAAGGGTAAGTTTGAATCCCTAGCATTCATGTAAAAGCTGCTTGTAAAAGCATGCATTTGTAATTCCTGTATTGGAGAGGTAGGAACAGGTAGGTCCTTGGAGCTCAGTGGCCAGCCAGCCTTACTGAATAGTGAGCTTTGGGTTCAGTGGAAGACCCAGGCTCAACAAAACAAAACAAAGGTAGAGAGCCATTGGAGAAGACACTTGGCACCAACCTTTGGTCTTCACATATATGCACATATGTGCATGTGCATATGTGCACATAGACATACACACATGCATACACACAAACACTAGTAAGAAGAGATGATTTGGAATGAATTTTATTTGAAAGAAATAGAACCTAGTTTAATACTTAGTATATTTTAACATTTTATACAAAATGTGTTTTGTTTTACTGACTTTGACCTCTAATAAGAAACTGTTACACCTATATATCTGTTTCCTCCTGAGAAGCTGATAGGAACACAACCCAGTGTTGAGAATAGGTAAGAGATAGGACAGGCACTAAAGTTGCAGTTCTTTTCAGTTTTTGAATGGGAGTTAGAAATAATGTATCTTCTTTCCTGATAAAAGTATCATTACTTCTCATTTTTGTTTCCTGTAAATATTGTCTGTGCAGTTGAGTGGAGGAAAAGGAATATTGTAGTTGGAAGGAAAGGGGGCTCTGAGTAGTTCTGACAGTGTGATCTGTTTGCTGTCCTGTTTTACTCTACCTGCCAGGTTGGAGCCTGGTTTCCTGACACTACCTTTCACCTTCACAGAGCCATGGCAAACCCATGGGCAAGACTTATGCCAGTGTTTTATTGTTACATTTTGTCTGCATAATTGGAATAATTGTTGGGACAATTGCTGGTTCTGTATGTGGTGTTTGCTGGGTTAACGTTTTAGTCACAGATTATGTATATAGCTGAATGTTCAGTTAAGAGTTAATAATAAAATTTTGGTGAATCTTAGAAAAAAATATTGTGATTTATACAATAATTTTCTAAAGTGGTTAATTAATTGATAGCCTTCTTTAATTTAATGGTTAAATGTGGTTTGAATACTGTCTTCTTTGTATTTCCAATAGAATTTAATTCAACTTGAAGGACAAAACCTTCATTAATTTAAAAATAATAGTCTGGATAGTTACATATTTGAAAAAAACTAGTTTTGCTGTTAATTCAGATTTAGATTATGTACCTCAAGTTTTTAAAAAGAACATTAGCATAGATATTAATCAAGTGTAAATATTGCAAATTCTATGTGAAAATATCTTTTTCCCCATCTTGCTTATCTAGCTTTTTCATATGTGGAACCAGGGGGACAGGAGCTGTAAAGTTATCAGGGTGAGAACCATGTAAACCTGCACCTGTTGGCAGCTATGAGCAAGCAAGCCTTGCTGAACCCCAGGCCGCTGCTTCAGCCTTTTATTGGAACTAAATGATGTTGCCATTTTTATTTTTAGGTTTGCTGGCATGGGTAATCTCATTAAGGTGCTAACCAGGGACATAGACCACAATGCAGCACATTTTTTCTTGGACTTTGAAAGTAAGTCTCCTTAGCCCTTCACAGCTGGTGCATAATGGTAAAGGTGGAAGATTAATTATACTCACACCACAGTGAAGGCCAGCCAGAATATTTGTTAAACATGGGGATCAAACAAAGGTTGCATGATTTTTTTTTCCCTTAATTATAGGCAAACATCACCATCATATGTATAATTCTTTAGTTTCTCATTTGCTAAAATCATGTTGAGTCTGTAGTCAGTGCTGTCCTTTCATTAGTCCATGAAGCAAGTAGCCTTATGATGAATATTCTAATAGTATGCTTTAGTGACTATGCCAAAGTCTTTTCACTTGTCATCCAATAATAATTTGCTTTAAGAAATAAAATCTGTGCTGCATATCTAAAATGAATACTTTAAATAGCTTCCACAAATTTTACAAATCAAATTTGGTTAGGAATACCTGCTATATTTATTAACATGTAGGAAGTTAAGTTTTACATTTTAAAATGAGATGTGTAGGTGAGCTTTGGCCAATCCTTTTAATATTTGGCCTTGCAATAAATTGTTGTTTGATTGCTATACTTAGAAAGTGACATGTAAATAATTTTTGATTGGAAATTTCTTTTTCAGAATACTAGCACTATTGGAATACTTAAAGAATTTTTCATTATAAGGCCATTAATGAAACTTGTCTTGGGAGAATTTTGAGAAGAATTAGAGCAACAGTTGTGCCATTATGTACAGGAAAAACCACATTTCACCTCTAGGTCCTACACATCAACACCTTGAGAACCTGGTTTGCTGTCTGCCAGAGCACAGTCTGGGTAACCTGAAGGATGAATTCATGGCCTAATGAACATTTTCCCTGTTACTATTTTTCTTTAAGTCAATTTCAGTTGTTCTTTTTTATAAAGGGATATTTTCTCTTTTCTCATTCTTGTCTTGACAGGTACCTTAACATGGGGAATCTTCTTAAAGTTTTGACATGCACAGACCTTGAGCAGGGGCCAAATTTTTTCCTTGATTTTGAAAGTGAGAAGATGATTTTATATCTATTTCTCTTTGCCTGCAGTAGACTGCGTTTGTCTTGCACTAATGAATGTTTCCACTTTGCCATCTTTTTAACTGCTTTGCATGACTGAGCTGTGAATTGTTTGAGTAAAACTTCTGGTGCCTTCTAGAACTGAATCAGATTCAATAAAGTAAATTACAGTAATAAAGTACCTATTTGAATTTTGTAAGAGATTTCATCTCTTAATTGGCTATTATGTTATTATTGAAGACCTATGATAATGAAAACACGAAAATATTGAAAAGG